GAGTCGGCCCCCCTCAGGCCCCTGGGGCTGGCGGTACAGACTGGAATTTTCTCTTATTTGTCAGAGGATGAGTGGAACTCTCCAACTACGCTGAATAAACATGTCACGCGATTTTGTTTGTTTGCTTTTTTATGAAGCAAGTGTTCTTAATACACTGAATTTTGTTTTAAATATAGATATTTTTAAAATATATAGCTATTTATAACTTTTGCAATATAATTGATTACAAATCAAGAACATTTACAACATATTCCCTTGATATAAAGCTAAGAATGCCAAATAAGACATTCATTGTCAGAAAAATGTTAAGATACTCAAATCAATTAAAAAACCAATTCCAGTTCATTTAGAAAAAGTGTAATGACAACTGCTACTTGCCAGGAACTGAGATATGTCCCATTGAATCTTTAATATTTTTTGGAGATTATTGGAATATTATTAGAATATTTTCTTAAAAAATTTATTGGTTTAACCAATTTATTTATAGCATCCTGAGCTCTATGATGAATTTGCATAGGAAGCATTAGCTGCAAACTCCTAAAGTGTATATCTCCTCTTTTGAAGATCAAGTTGAAATGATGATGACTGAATATTTTTATACTGGATTTCCACATCATTATAAAAGTGGCATTCTTCACGCGAGTCATGAAATTAGCAAGTCTTCACCATCTTAAATTGAATTGCTGTCATGTAACTGTTTTGACTGAGAAATATTGTGAATTACAGATTGTCAAGTAAAATATTTTTGCCGTTTAATTTGTATTTAATTATTTAATATGAGTGAATGTTGGTATGCGTGCTATTGTGTACTACTGCAGATACTCTCAAAGAATTAGTTGACAGAATTTGGTATCTGAGTATGAGAGATGATAAAATTGAATGGGCTTTTTATATTTTTTTTAGCTGAAAAGTAATGGTGAAACAAAGAAATTGGGAGAAAGAGAAGAACTTGCAACTAAATACTTTTTAACTTAGGCATTTTACTTAAGCTCTCCATGAGTTAGCTTTCTGATAATTTTTAAAGAACTCCTCACCCAAGGATATTTTTTTTATTGGCTTTTAAAGAGAGAAGGAGAGAGAGAGAAAGAAACATCAACGTAAGAGAGAAACATAGATTGGTTGCCTCCTATACACACCTCAACCAGAGATCCAACTTGCAACCTAGGTATGTGCTCTGACCAGCAATTGAACCCGAAACCTTTTGGTGTAGGGAACAACACTCCAACCAACTTAGCCACCCAGCCAGAGTAGCTTTCTGATCTTTTAAATCAGTACAGAACAGTATCCATGGTATATCATGTGTGATTATGGTAATTAAAGAAATAAGCCATGAAATACACCATAGTGCTTGGTGCATATTACTCAAAAGATATTAGTTGCTTTTATTTTTATGAGTGTTATTCAGGAGTTCAGTTTGAACATTGAGGTGATATTTATATCTATAATGTTAAAATTCTTAAGGGTATAATGGTAGGACTGAATTTCAGAGGAATAGATGCTTAGACTATATTTATTTATGTATTTATTTATTTTTTGGTGGTACGTTCCCCTAGCAGGACCGAACCCGGGACTCTCTGGTCCGCAGGCCAATGCTCCAACCGTGGAGCCAAACCGGCCAGGGTGATGCTTAGACTATATTTAAGTATCACTTGTCAGTACCATATTATAACAGTTACAGCGTTATGGATATAACAAGGGCACTGTAAGCACTGTGGTAATCACTCAGACTAGAATAGGGTTTCTCAGCATTATTAGCATGTTAATCTGGGAAATATCTTGGGGGGGGGGGCAGGCCTGTGTACAGTCGCCCCTCACCACTTGCGCTTCGACTTTCGTGGCTTCACTCTATCATGTGTTTTTCAAATATATTCATTAAAAAGTTGATTGAGACAGTGAAAATGATACAGCACACACTCGGTCGTCTGAGTCAATTATACACACACCCCTGTATTACAATTACAGTTACTGTACGTATGGACTGTAGGCCTGCGTATTCGAGCGCCCCCAGAATCCTTCACCGCCAGGTGCCACCGCTAGAGTCTGGAACAGATTAACCACGATAAACCAGGGCCGGCTGTATTGTAGGATATTGACCTGCATCCCATTTGGAAGCTCACCAAGTGATAACCACCAAAAATGTCTCCAGATACTGCCAAGTGTCCCCTGGAGGACAAATGTCTCCTGACTGAGAATCACTGGAGTAGAGAAATCACGTGGGCTTCTTCAAGTACATAAAGAAGTTTCAGCACACGGAAGAAGGAATGGACTGACTCAGTGTAACCCAGAAAACAGAAACGGCACTGATTGATAAAGACAATTTAATGGAAGAATATTTTCAGAGTTTGAACTAGCTAAAAATAAACTGCATTAACTTGTAAGGCAGCTTCTCAGCGACGAGTATTTAATTAGGCGCTGGGCCACCATCAGAATTGTGCTGAGAATTTCTTTTCTGGGAAGGGAGCTTGAATGAAATCATCTCTTAGATGCTCACATCTTGGCAAGCCTATCTAATGATACGGATTTGAAAATCAGTGCAAGTGAGGTCATAGTTGAAGCCGGGATAATGGCTGAGCTCTCTCTGAGAGCGAGGGAAGCTAGCATAATTGCCGTGGACTGAGTTGTACGGATTGTCTGTAATTTAGAAGAGGGAATCTGGAACACAGCCTACCTCCATGGACCCTGCAGTGTGTCAGGAGGGATGAAGGGGAACCAAGAAGAAAACGTATTCAGACAGAGTTTCAAAGAATGGATGGGTGGCATTGTCAGTTGAGAAGGATAGTCAGTTGACTGAGACAAGAGCAGTATATTTAATTACTTGGAAGTCACGGTGAGGAAAGGATCTTGTGAAGTGTTAAATATTCTACAAACATTCATCGTTATTAATATTAATGTTTTTATTAGCATACAAGCCAGATGCCAGATTCTAAAGAGTTAAATAAAGCTAAAGTTTGAGGAAATTGACATAGAGGTGAGTGCTTTGACCACGTGCTCAGTAAGTAGAGCTATTGTTTTTTTTATCCTCACCTGAGAACGTTTTTTCATTTTCTGTTCAGGTAGAGTGGGAAGGAGAGAGAGGGAGAGAGAGAGAGAGAAACATCGACGTGAAAGGGACACATCGACTGGCTGCCTCCCGCACAACCCAACCAGGGTTGGGGACAAACTGCAACCGAGGTACGCGCCCTTAGCGGGAACCGAACCCGGGCCTCTCCGGACTGGAGGGCGCCGCTCTAACCGCTGAGCCAAACCGGCCAGGGTAGGGCTATTGTTTTTATTTTTATTTTTTAGGAGATGTGGGACTTGAGCACTTTGGAAAATTTATATTTGGATGAAAAAAATTTGTAAACATTAAGAGAAAAGGTGATTATATAAAAAAATTAAAAGGTACCCTGGTGGTTGGAAAGGTTAAGGTCCCAGGCTTTATTTGATTTTATTTTTTAATCTTTTTAAAGAAATCTACTTCCTTTGGTCATGAGGAAAGAATTAGAGCATGGATGTGTGACTATAACTGTTGTGGGCTGGTGGGTCAGCTCCCAGCTCCCAACAGATGAGGCGCAGAGTCAGAGGCTTGCGTAGCTGGGTTTGAATTTTGACATTACCACTTACTCTCTGTGTGACTATTAGCAGTTTGCTTTGAACTCTGAGTATTGGATTCTTCTTTTCTAAAAAAAAAAATAATAATAATAATATATGCTATCTGAAATGTTATTATAAAACTAGATTCAATGATCAATGGAAAGTATGTAGCACAGTACCTGGAAGGTGCTCAGCACTCAGCGGACAGGTGCTAGAATTGCCATTATCATCCCTGAAGGATATTCTAAGATTTCTTCAAATGAGGCAAGGAGAAAAAAAATATATTAAGTTTTTGACAAGCATGGAAAATGTCAAAAATTGCACTGCTTTTCAGTGAATCAATTGATGAATACAAGGATTATCAATGAAGGGTGAAGACCAGGATTTTTATAGTGACCAGTGACTGGTGAATTTTAAGTGACTCAGTTCTGCTCACTTTCGGGTTTTTCACAGTTTAATCTCTGACCACAGAGCAAAGGAAGAGAAAATAAACATTGATACAGGGTTGGGAATTGAGTAATCAGAGTCACATAAATCGTTTATTTAGAGATTTGTCAGTCTCAAATTACTGCTAACCAAGTATCCTGTATTATCATAGCTTATTGAATGTTGTAACTAATACGTATAGACCACATGTATAAACTTTTTGCTGAATAATTTCTTATTTTAAACATTGTCATATACCAGGGTTTCTGAACTTCAACACTACTGACACTCGGGACTAGATGATTCTTTGTCCTTGGGGGCAGTCCTGTGCATTGCAGGATGTGTAGAAACATTCCTGACTGTAGTCCCTAGATACAAGTTACACCCCTCCCAGTCATGGTAATCAAAAGTGTCTCTAGACATTGCCAAATGTCCCCTGGGGGTGGGCATGGGGCTAAAATCATCTTCAGTTAAGAACCACTGAAATATTCTTATATCTAAAATAGTTGCTAATAAAGATGCAATGAATGGACATGAGACATTTGAATTTGTTAAATTGCCAATATAAGTCAACGATTCTAAATAGATTTCTGTTGCTTTATAAGACCAATAGAATTATAAATGTACATTTCTTTTAACAAAGGAAATCTTAAATATAGACTACAATGTATAGCAAGAAATATAAATAATTTTTCTACCTGTATATGTTGACTTTTCTTGAAAACATTTCCAACACTAATTTATCCTTTTGTGCTTGAATTATTTACTGGTGCAAAGTGATTCCTTCTACATATACAGGTTGGGGCAAAAGTCAGGTTACAGTTGTTCATATGAAAAAAATACAGTAATTAATAATTAATACAAGAATAGTCTGTGTTTCATGTACTCACGGCTATAAACTGACTTTTGCCCCACCCTGTATATATTTGCATCTCTACAGATTCTTTTCATTACATATATTAAATATTTTAAGCAAAGATTATTTGTGTTTTATTTTCCAGTTGTTTTTTATCCTTATTATTGGTGGCTGCTGTGGTTTGGAAGATCAAACAGACCTGCTGGGCTTCTCGGCGGAGAGAGGTATCAGTAATAGCACTTACTCTCTTGTTTAAAGATTCAAGCAAACATATGGGTTTCTATTGCTTAATTAACACGCACCTATCAAATATAGATTTGCACATCTATTTTATTTATTAAGTTTGAACTAATCAGTCGTATAGTTTTTAAGCTTCTGAACAAGCTTTACCACAGTCGTTTTAAGTCAGAATATGTAGAAGCTATGGTTAGTTGAAAAATGTTATTTTCAGTGGTGTTAGAATTTACAGGGAATACAAATATTCTGTTGATAAAGTCATCTGCAGTCTCTGTTATTTAGGTAATTAGTTATATTATAAAACCATAATTTATTTTAATAAACATCTGTGTGGCCATTTCAAAGACAATTCTGAATGACAAATACTTATTCAGGGTTTTTATTGCCCAGGTTTTTGTGTTTGGAATTCAAAGCTTTTCCATTTCACGATGATCTGATAGAGCGAGTATGTTTGGAGTGTACCTCAATTTGATACATTTCTGTACCAGAATCGATTCTGTATGTTTTCTGTAATCCTAAAATTGATAAAAAACATAATACTCTTCCAGAACAACTGATGATATAAATAAATTAGACAAATACTGGTTCCTATTAGATAATTGAAGGAAAGAAAGAAAGATAATAATCTGAGGAGTATAAGTATGTAGTCTATTTATTGTTCTATACCTCATATAATAAAACATTCCTGTTTTAACAGTTTTATATTAACATATTAGTATTAATATTCATTTTCTATTATTAGCATTCTCTTTGCTGTTGCATTTCCTAGTGTACTTTGTATGTATACATTTGTGTAACACTATAAAGTAGCCCTATATTTACTTACTTTCTTTTTTCCACATGCTAAAGTATATTTCCAGGTATTTAAAGGGAATCTAGAATATTCTAAGTTATACAATTATTGAGTTTTCCTTAATTATTCTTTTATTTTCAAACATCCACTATACCTCAGTGCCTTCCTAAAATATATTTACACGCTTGACACCCCCCACACACAAATTAATTATTCTATCATAACCCTATCTGCCCCTCTGATTTCTATATATGGACGGTTTAGTATCAATGAGTATTGACTTGATATGACCCTATGATAAAAAGTAATCCAGTTTAAAAGGAGCTTATTAAACATAAATATGTAAATATTTGGCAAGAAGGATTCTGTGTAGAGATAACCAGTCGGAATACACGTTAGACAATCTGTTAAGGTGAAATCACGGATTCACGAAGGGAAAGCAGTTGGTAGGCAGGCAGTGATGATGAAGGCCTTCTTGAATGGAATGAGGTAACTGACATGTGTGTCCCTAACCCTCAGAAAAGAAGCCAGGATCAATTAGGGATCCTGGGTTTCTATTCGTTACGACGAGCAACGTTTAAATATCTGATGTATCAAGTTTATAAAATGCAGCTGTATAATTGCGGGGTTGTGAAAAGATCGTGTACAACTTTAACTGGCTTCTGGATGTGGGTACGTGGTCTAACTGAATTTTTCCTCAAAAGAGAAGGGACTGTGCTATATTCCTAATTCCAAGTAGGAGGTTCCTAGAACCCTAAGAATGTTTGTATGTCATAACTAAAATTTAGAAGCTGTAGTAAATATTTCAGAAGTCTAAGGTGAAAAGTTCATTTACCTATAAAACTCAAACTTCTCAAAATGACAGTCTGCTTTTGGTCAATATTATATCACCCCAGTTTATTGCATATTATCAGAAGCTCTGAGAAGCTGATATTACTTTAATATAAAAATAAAAATGTGACTTTATCTTTTGATTAAAAGTCCAGATCTCTCCAAATATGTGTTGCACATGGAGAGAGAGAACAAGGGAGATATAAGAAGGGACTACTAGTTTAGGGACCACTGGGCCCTTCCAGTCTGTGCTTCTAAATATTATCATGTTCTTTATTCCCACAGTACAGGCCCTTTCCAACCCTATCTAGGTAGTTTCTGTTAAAGAACACAATAATAATGTTTCCATTTAACTTGCTAACTATACTGAAATACAAAATCTGTAAAATCTGTCTTGTTGAGATGTCATGCCAGGTTACAATATATATGTTAAAAAATATTGTTGAGAATTTCTTCAAATTTAATTTTATTAGATCTTTTAAGCACAAAATTCTAAATGTCTTGGAAACCATTCATATGTTGATGCCCAAAGTAAAGATGTTCTTATTTAGATGACTATCAGATATATATTATTAGATAATAATTTTTATATTATTAAAAGATTGTCATTTTGGTCTTAGAGGCCCAAAGAGTTTTAATTACACTAGTTGTGGCTTACATGATGATCCCCATTATAGACTTTATGTGAATGGAAGTAAAAATGTGTTTTGTTTGGATTGCCTCTTTATTTAGTTTTAACTATTGGATTAACTCTAATGTTCCCCAAAGGAAAAGATCCCAGGTTTTTTGTTTTTGTTTTTAATGTGTTTGTATTGATTTTTTAGAGATAGGGGAAAGGAGAAAGAGAGAGAAACATCCATCAGCTGTCTCCTGCACGCCCCCTACTGGGAATCCAGCCCACAATCTGGGCATGTGCCCTGACCAGGGCCCGAACTGGGAGAGCTTAGTCCACGGGAGGACGCTCAATCCACTGAGCCACACAGGCCGGGCTTGTTTATTGTTTTTTAAATGTGGATGTGTTACTTTCTCCAAAGCGTAGCACACCAGTTATTGTAACCCATAGAGAATACTTGTGATTAGTGCAGTGACAATTTATCTGAAACAGTGAATGAAAATGATTTAAAGAATTTTTCTTCCTGGTATCTTTATAATTATGTTACAGGAATTGTACTAGTTGCTTTTTCTAAATATAAGAATTATTTTAAAATGAAAATAATCTTTGTATATTTTAAAATATATTGTGTTAGTTCAACCAGGCATATTGCTTTTTTTTTGGAAAAAATGATTTGAAGCTTTGACTTCTGAGAAACACACAACTGCTTTTTCTATGCTATAATTTTAATATCAGAAGGCTATTGTTAATGTTATACCTTTGGAATACCACCCGTGGGAATTCAGGGACTTCTAAAAACACAAAAATGAAACTATAAAGGACTCCAATTTTAGTATTACCTCTTCATATAGGAAGTCCATACTCATTTCTATGATAACTCTATAAAGAATATGAAATTGGGGGGAGGGGCAGTGTTAATTAATGGAAACAATAAATGGATTTTGACCATTGGAAATATTGTAATACATTAGAAGGATGAACTCTTTTTTTTTTTTTTTTTTTTTTATCCTCGCCCGAGGTCATTTTTTCATTTTTTGTTCAGACAGAGTGGGAGGGAGAGAGAGGAAGAGAGAGAGAAAGAGAAACATCGACGTGAAAGGGACACATCGAGTGGCTGCCACCCTCACAACCAACCTGGACCGGGGACAAACTGCAACCGAGACACGTGCCCTTAGCGTGAACTGAACCCGGGTCTCTCTGGACCGCAGGCCGACACTCTAACCACTGAGCCAAACTGACCAGGGCTAAATTCATTTTTATAGTGTGTGCTTATTACAGAGGTATGAAAACATTAAGTTTTATTTTTAATTTATTTTTTCACTGAATTAAATATTGTTTATTATTGCAAATGAAATTAGAGCATAATAATTTACATATGCATATAATTTTTAGAAAATTTCTCCCTTAAAAGTCATAATCTTCATCCTTTTTTGAAAAAAAAAAGTATCTTTATTATTGAAATTATTACAGATGTGCCTCCTTTTTTCTGCCCTTGACACCGTTCTCCCTGCCCTGGTCCCACACCCCTTCCCCACACTGTTGTCTGTGTCCATTGGTTTCTTCTTCCCACCCCACCCCCTTCCCTCGGAGGTTCAGTAGTCTGTTCCCTACTTCCATGTCTCAGAATCGGTTTTGTTTGTCAGCTTATTTTGATTATTATATTCCACAGAGATCATGTGATACTTGTCTAAAACATTAAGTGTTAATGGCACATTCGATTTTAAGTAAATAGTTATACGGTATTACAAAAACATGTGTTAGGAGCAAGTATATGTTAAAAGGAGACACTTAAAATATTGTCATATTTTATAATGCTAATTTTTAAACTTTAAGTTGTTAGTAGGTATTAAAACTCCCTTGCACATTTACAGTCACACAGCATAAAAACCTAGATTTAAATTGAGCAGTATGAACCTGAAGTTTCAGTTAAAATCAGTAAACTAAAAATAATAATCTACAAGTAGGATTTTCTAAAGACAAATATATTATTTCCTTTATTTGTTTAATTGGCACAAAATCAGAGAAGTAGTTAATAATAAGTTATACTTTACTAAGGAAATGTCATGGGTTAGTAATAAAATATTCTCTGAGATGCTGTATTTGTGATAATTGGGTTCTCATCTAAATATTATTAATATATTGCAGCAGTATTTTACAAAGTGAGTTACTCTACTTCCTTAGACACCCAATTTATGGGGAGTGGGCAGAGTGAACAGAGTAATGAGAAATGTAATTTTGGGTGGAGAAATTAAAATTAATTAATTAGGTATGAAACTCCTTGTACAATATCTTAGTACTTTTAAGAATCTCATTTTATATAATGTTTAAACATTTTAATACCTAGATAAAGCTTTCCACAAAAGATGTTCTTTTGTCAAAAAGGCAAGTTTTTTAACCATTATTAAATGATGTGCTCATATACATGTCTGTCCTTGCAGTTAATGGCCTCACTGTTAACTTATTTTTGCTTATAATTTTCTTGTATTAAATTGCAAAATATGATTACCGTCGCTTTACTTTTATCACTTTATCCTATAAGACTAAAGATTAGAGATGTTCAGCATGCCTATTTATATTATCATAGTTTAAAAATTAGCATAAATCTACTTTAAAATAATTTGAATTGAGACGTCAAATATATATAGGAACATAAGATTTGAAAGTTAACTGATTATTGTTCGTAAACTTGTTCCCAGATATCTTTTGTAGATGTAATGCTTCCATTTTGTTCAATTAAAGAAAGATGTATT